GAGTTACTAAAAATATAAGACCCAATTGTTGCCCCTGGATCTAGCTGCATTATGCTCTCAAAGACTGAGCCCCTGATGTAAAAGTCATGTTGTTTTAAGCAAGGATTTCCAGCAAAGTGACTGAGTACTGTTAACAGGAAACAGGGAGAGGAGAGGATCACAATCACCAGAGTTTCTTATATCAGTCTGGGTTCATTCTCTAATACCAAAGGAAATATTATAGTTCTGTGCTGAGTGCCCAACTCTCCTTTAAATGAGCAATAGTAATACACAGGTTTTCATTTTAACATGATGTTTCTGCTCTGTGGCACAATAATTAAATAAAAATCAAAAACAAAATAGGATTGAAATCAATTAACCCCAAGTCCACATTAAATTTCAATGATTCATCACTGCACTTGAGTTGAAAGTTGTATGAACATTTAAAATGTAAAAGATTATTTAACAGGACATATTCAAAAGCTACAATTAGTAAATACCTAGCAGAAAAGTCAAAATTATTTAAATTAATCTAACTTCTAGTTTTACAGAGCAAGTTGTAACAAGCCCCGCCCAACCTCTTTTATTAATGTTTCTTATGCTTGCCAGTTAGGTACTGAAGCACTTTCGATCATTATGATGATTCAAAATATGAAGTTTGCTATAAAATGTGGATTGTAGAAAAATGTGACAGAACTCTCAAAGAACAGGGTATTACGTCACTTCCCAAATTGATCATAAGAGCTATATCTACACTGGTGATATATCTACACAATAGGACCTATATCTACACTAGCTCTATACCACTCTGGAAGTTGCTGCTTAAAAATAATACCACACCCCATTCTCTCCCACTCCAACCCCAGAAATGTGGCAGCCAGGGGACCAAGGAGTTGTGCCCCACCACTCCTCTCATGGTCTGTGTCCTTGGAGCACTCTTACCGCCACATTTTTTGATCTGACGCATGCAAACAGGAGCAAGTAACCTCCAGAGTGACACAGGGCCAGTGTACATGTAACTACAGTTTTCTTATTGAGTCTGCAATTGTTTTTAGGTCTATTTAACCCTTATGTGTAAATGCGAAGTAACCAACTTATGAATACTTGAATAGCTCGCTCCCTCTTTTTTTCTTTTTTGTCTCTTTTTTCTATTCCTTGTGACTCGATGAAATTTATGTTTTTGCCAGTGTAAAGGCCACCATATCATCAGAGTTTATAACTAAGGTTTCTGAACTGTTAATGACTTTTTTTCCAGTCATGTCCTGGAGGATATCGGCACACATATATTAGCTGTGTTTCAGGGAGTCCACAAATTGTACCTTAAAGTAATGACCAGGGCTTTTCTATGCTTGCTTCTGAGTATGGAATGCATTTCTACTGACCCCCCTACCTCAGTTTATCCTTTCCTACCCTTTTAGGTTACTGAAGACATTTCGTCATTGGAGGTGTTTCTGATTAAACCGTAACTGATGTTACACAGATGCACAGACACACAGAATGCATAGATGCATATAGAAGCATGTGTTCATGCACATACACACACGCGTGCATGCACACACAGTCATTTTATGCTTTTAAGTCTAATTATTGTAGAGGGGACAGCACAAAATGTTCACTGTGTAACACAAAAAAGGTATTTATAAACAATATACTTATACTTTGTACATGCAACTATTATTTTAGGTAAATAATTTCTGACTAGAGAACTTTAGTGCAAATTATATTTAATGTAACAAACAGATAATAAGTTGACGTTTATTTCGTTTGTAGATAAATGTCTAAGTCCAAAATGTCTGTAAATACTTCAAACTAAATATAATTTTTAAATGCAAATATTCAGGTCATAGTTCAAAGTCCTCAGGTTTGTAAAACAAACTTACAAAGGCGCTTACATTTGTCTGTTTGAAAAAAATACAAAATGAAAATTGTTCTAAGAAATTTAAATGAAATAAGACGATTTCTGGCAAACAGCACATATATTCCAAAATGATTACACTAAATTCTGCCCTAAATTATAGTATTGCAATCCCTACAAGTCAGTGATACTGAATGCGTATTTTGGAACTGGTTGAGTATTTTTACTCACAATATTTTCCTACTGAAAAACACAGTTACAGTAACACTGCAATTTTACACTGGAAACTCTCGTTTCGATAAAACCATTATTTTTAAAATAAAAATTTGTTTAGAAGAGACATTATAAAAGCAATCAAGTGTTCACTTACACAAAATGTCATTTGGGTTTTGTTTTGCACTTAAAACAAGACAAAATAATGTTTCATTTCTATCAATCTGAAATGACAGTTTTCATTTTTGTATCTCATAATGTTTTTGATTTAACATGTTTTAAACAAGCAAAACTTAGTTCATTTCAAATTGTTGGTCCAAAACAAATTTAAAAGTTCAAAATGTCTTGCAGAAAAATGTTTAAATAAATTTGAATTAGTTTTTCATTTGAAATATCTAGGGAATATATTTGATTTCCTGACCAATTCTACTGCATAAGAAATTAAAAATGTAACCTTATGAGAAGAAGGATGTTTGTCCCCAAAAGCTTGCAAAGAACACTTTTTCCAAGTATTTAGTTGGTCTAATAAAAGGTATCACTTCTACTTGAAGCTTGTCTGCCTATAACCTTATGAGATTAATTCAATTCAGACCTCAGTGTAAACAGATGCATTCCACAAAAGTTGCAGCTAGTCTGAATTGGGCTTGATTCAATATGTGAAACTTAAGTCTTAACAAATCCAATACATCTTTTTCACTTTTATGCTACATATATTAGTTTCAATGAAAAATACTTTTCTCAAAATGTAAATAACCATAGTTATATGTATACTCACACCAACTGAACACGGCAGCTCAATAATGTGTCTGCGCATATGCAAACTGAGAATAATTGCAGTTATGCTGGATTTACGCCAGTTTATCAGAATGCAATATTAGTCACATTGACCTTCAGACCTGCATGTCATGTACTCACATAATCTGGACAAATTAAGTATAAAGGCTACCAGATCATAATGGCATTATTTAACATATACTTTGAGCCTGCTTGTCCCAGTTGCAGGATGCAGGGCATTAAAAAATTAGGCCAACTGAGTATAGGAATTAATTTTTACTTTTGTCATGCTTTCAAATTAGAAAAATTCTTCTTATTGACATGTTTCACGCTACCTTCTATGTTTTTCTTTGCCCCAGTTTCTTGTTCTACTTTCCTGGAGACAGCAAGGATTATTTACTGAGAAGAGCACACAAATGGGAATGTATAGCTCAACATTACAATTATTTACTGGCAGAAGACAGAATGCCACAATTCTTTGTTCATGTGTCCATTGCATGGCAGTCTTGTCAACCAATGAATACAATGCTTGTAATTCAATAATATGCCATTGTTTTTAAGGGCTGTGTGGGTATGCTTTTCAACACTTTCTTCGCCTTATTAAATCATGTTGATTCATACAGCTTTACTGTTGCTTCTGCTATCTCTTGATACTCCCTCATGTTTTATTTGGGGTTTCTTTGAGTGGGGGGATGGGGAGGGAGGGAAGGCAAGGCAGGGCAAGTTGCCACCAGCTCTCACTGACAGGTTTTGCTTGCAGATAGTTGGCCATATTCCAGCACATTCTCCTGCCTGAGGACAACTGAGTGTTCACAGGTTTATTTAAACATTCTATAGCAGGGGTGGGCAAAATGCGGCCCAGGGGCTGGATGCGGGACACCAGGCCATTCTATCCGGCCCACGGGGCCCCTAAAAAATTTAGAAAATTAATATTAATCTGCCCTGGGCTGCCTGTCATGCAGCCCTCGATGGCTAGCCAAAACTCAATAAGCGGCCCTCTGCCCAAAAATAATTGCCCGCCCCTGTTCTATAGTCTGGTGATTATCTTTTACACTAAGGTCCCTTTACACAACAGGAGTAGCATTTGTACATTCTTTAAGAAAATGTCTAGATTGACAAAGATTTGTAAAGGGATCTTATTATAAGCAGGAATTTAGTTCCTTTTTTCTTTTTTCTTTTTTTTTTTTGGCGCACACATGGCTATTTCTTTGCTGTTACATGAGCATGAGATGAATGATGTTCCCTGACGGATAGATATTTTTACACCAGGAAAGTAACTGTTGAGCTGTACATCCTACAGGACAAATTCTGCTCCTAGCTACACCAAAGCAACTGCACAACAAATGACATTAACCAAGTAATGAAGTAAGGTTTACAAGAGTGTAAACAACAACAGAATTGGACTCTTTGTATGCAATTATCAGCATTATAACATTTTTTAAGATGTACCATGAAATAAACTGAAGCATCCTATGATTTTTGTTCAGATTAATTATTTAACATTAGGGGTGGTGATTAAGGCATCATTTCAAATGTGCACTGTTGTTTGGTGATGGAAGTACCAAAGTCACTCCCACAATGTCTTCACAACATTCCCATTCTTACTGTACAAACTCATAGTAGGACTGGAATGTTGTAGTTGCGATGGTCCAGGAAAAATGCAAGACACACAATGGTGTGCAAGTGATATCTTTTATCTGGTTTTGGTGGATGATATTTTTTATTGGACCAACAGTATAGTTGGAAGAGATGTGCACAAAGGCTATATGCCCAAAGGCTTGCTTAACATCTCTCCCAATTACACTGCAGATATTTGCTACTCATGTAAAGGATCATGCTATTAGCAATTGCTCAAGGGTATCCATGTGTACTACAAATAATTCCTCTCTACTCTATTTAGATCATCACTGTCAAAAATATAATTTTTGCCTTAATTTTGAATGATCATTTAAGGCAGGGGTTAATGAATTGTTAACCCATCCAGGAAAAAAATATATAGTTAGACTAACGCATGTATGAGAAAAAATGTTCAAAAAGAAACTTTAAATCCCTACACTCTATGAAAAATAATAGCCACAATAAGCTACTGCTGAAAGCATAGTAGACTTTTCACTCATAGGAAAAGAGATTTCTCTCTTTAACTTTATCTCTTGAAAAATAAAGATCATGTCAACTTAACACTTGGATTGTACCTTTCATCCAAAAATCCCGAAGTAGTAAACAAACGTTAATGGACTAAGCCGCACAACATTTCTATGAGGTAAATACAGGAATACGGGCTTCATTTTAATATTTTAGTAGAGGTTGTAGCACCTCAGAAATCCTAGATCATAAGTGATTTGAAGCAGAAGATGGAAGGGAAAAATGTCTTCTACCAAGGGGAAGTAGAATTAAAACTAAACTAAAACTTCCAGGAAAATGTTATATTTTTAAGCTAAAATAAAATAGTTATTTTTTTCATAGAAATGTTCAAACAAACATTTCCATTTGTGAGTCTTTATCCACATATAATCTACAAGTGGGATTTTTTAGAGCTTTTGAAAATTTGACCCTAAATTTAAAAAAAGAAGGCTGAAGCTAAAAAAGAAATCAACCAGAAAAACTAGAGATTCAGTCAAAATTATCCATGCATCTGTTTTTTTAATAAATGCATGTACATCCTCTCAAAAAATATTGGCTTAAAAATAATATCTGACCGGATGTACTTCATGAATTAGTAAGGTTTTGAAAGCAACATTTTTTTTGTGTGTGGGGGTAGCTAAACATTTGATTAATTTAGGTACCATTTTTGGATATGCATATAGTTTTCTACCACCTATTGTAAATTATTCAGGATTTTCCTGAAAAATCAATTATTAAGAAATGAGTGCATCAAATTAATATATCTTTTGGACAACTTAATAATCTAATTATAAAGAAATAGCAATGATAAAATACCATCATAAGCATTTATCATCAAATACCAAATTCCTCCATTAGTTACCTGGATACCTTGTAGCCATGTAACCATGAAGAAAACATGGCCCCTAAACCATACATTGAAATGTATTCACTTTTAATTAAATCATAATTATCAGGTGTGTTAACATGTCCGAGTCTTTTGCTGAAAAACAGAATTTTAAAAAAATGTATGCAAACCACTGATTTGAGATTAACTGATAAACCATGTTTCTTTTCCTTTGCAGACCAGACCTTTGTGGTTTTGAAATAAATTAATCATAAATAATAGTGCTAGGGCTACATAATACCGTATACACTATATTGGTTCTTGTTCAAAAAATGGATTGCTTTTTTGGCTCATATTTACTCATTTATACAAAGCTTTCTTCCATATTTGTGCACAGCAGAAAGGAATCCACAAGTCTAGGCTTTACCAGCTGCTGGAAATCTGAATCTTTAAGGCGATCAGGGCTCATAACTGCTAGTCTTCGTAAGGCTGCCTGTAAGAAATAACGGGGGTAAAATTAAAAATAAGTAAAGTCTGCATTTCCAGAAAACGTAATAGCTGCCAGTAATAATTAGTGGTTGAAGTGAAACCTCTGTATGGAGGGAGGCCAGGGCCAATACAGGGTCTACATACCATACACTTAAATCTCCCTCCAAATTAAAAAATGAAACAATAATTCTTTGAGCACATTACAATGAATTCAAACAAATATATGAGCAGGGATTAAACACAATATTTTCTATAGGAAAGGACTCTTGGGAGAGACTTGGGTTCTACTCCTGCTTTTGTCACTGATCTACTCTGTAATCTTTAATAAGTCACCTCACCATTTGGAAACTTTGATTCCCTGGGGAGCTTTTTGTCTGGCCTGTTTATTAAGACAACAAGTTCTCTAGAGCAAAATATATGACTTAATATAATTTCATGCAGAACCTAATATAATAGAATGCTAAGTTTAGTAGCACCTTATAATGTAAAGAAAATAAAAGTTTCAAACAATTTAGGAACTAAAGTAACTACCAAATGATGACACCATATAAAAATAAATTGACTGCCCTGTTATCTTCATTAAAACAAACTAAATGATGTGATTTCACCCTGCTTTCTTTGGAACTCACAATATTTAGTAGTTGTGATGGTCCAGGAAATATGCAAGATGCAAGGATTTTTGAGGATGACACCTTGCATTGGATCAACTACACGGTTGGAATTGATTCAGACAAGCTTTTAAACGCAGTGCATTCTTCTTCAGATCTTCTTCAGAGACTCTTCTATCATGTATTTCTCCAGCCTGCCTAATTCTAATCTTGCGTTCCTTAGGCCAGTCCACTTGTACAGACTCCTAATCTCAGTTCCAGTGTCTTGGCACGGCCAGTCCTTTGTCTCCTGTCTCCTTCTTCATTTGGCCCCAATCTCTAATCCATCTGGTTTCTTCAACCAACAGGCACTTTCCTGATTCTTTGGGCAAATCTGCCTAATTTCAAGTCCTCCTACAAAATATGGAGACACTAGAGCTTCTTCATAAAACAATTTAAGATGATCAGAACAATGTATTTCTCTAATCTGAGTCTTGGAAATGAGAAATTAGCAGCACACTAAATGCAACTACACTACTTCCAGTATTCAGTGGGCACATCTACACGAGAAGTTTACTGCGTGGTAGCCTAATAACAGTGTGCAGTAGCGTGCCATTCAAAAATCATGCTAGTAAGCTACTGTGCAGTGTTATTAGACTACTGTGCAGTGACCATCACAAAAAACCCACGTGCCATCACTACTGCTCAGTAACTGTAGTTAATTGCGCATTTAGTTAATACTTCACTAAGGAAGTAGTAAACTAAATGCACAATAACTACTGCACATTAATGACACTGTACAACTAATGCCCACTGAGAGCTGACTCAGGTGTCTCTAGATACATGTATTACCCTTTTTGCCATATACCCCTTCAATGCCTGATTGTAAAAGATCTAGGGGCATGTTGTCTACCAAAGTAGATTTAGAACCTGAAGCAGTATATCTGCATCAGTTACATTTCTAAGCACAGCTAATTAGATTGGGTGAAGCACTGTGCTGATGTGGCTGTCCAACTTGCAGCCTGCAGGCTGCATGATGCCTGCAAGGGGTTAATGTGTGGCGCCCCAGGCTCCTACCTGGCCACTGCCACCTTAATTCTCCATCTGCTGCTGCAGCCAAGGTCTCTAAGCTTTCCCCACCATCAATTTTAACTTTCTGCTCCTGCCCAAGGGGCCAGGATGGTTCAACTCTAGGGATTGCGGGGTGGGGATGTGCCCATGGTGTAGTGTAGTGGTGGGGAGTGAAGGGCTATGGCTACCCACATGTGCAGTGCAGGAACCTATGTTTTGCACTAATGTGGACACTGGCCACTTAGAAGTTGGACAGCGCTGTTTTAGAAGAAAATATAATCTACCCATGGGTATAGGTAGAATGTTCTTCACACAGGAAGAATAAGTAGTTACCTCATTTTTAACAAGAACATAAAGAGGTCTCTTTGGAACAATCATAACTTTCTCAGAAGAGGCTTTCTGTACCACAGAATCAAAAGCCAACAGGCATCAAGAATATAGGGACAAGAAGTGGTAGAGTAACATAACACCAAATTAGTAGGTGAGTAGCCTCTCTGAGTTCAGCTACAGATCTTCAGATATAGGAGTCAGAAAATGCATTGTACATCCTAAGTCAGATGGGGCAATGGCAATGAAAAGCCTAGAGACATTCACTGCCTCAAAAATAAGCATTGCAATAAGCAAAAAGCTAAATATCAAACCAACTCCAGAATATAGAGCAGCACAGTGAAATCTTGTGTTGACAGAATGGATAAATCTCCTGACAAAAATAAGAATAATAAGAGCCACTGTATTTGGCTATATCCTTTATAACTCTCAGTCCTCCCTATCAACACCTCAACCATCATCCCTCTCACCCAGCTTTCTGGCACTTGCAAAAGAAGTGCCTAAGCGGCACCTTCCAGTATATGGAGAAATATTGAGTGCAGTATGACACTTAATAGAGCTACATGTCTTAGATGTCAGAGGGAGAGCAAAAATGAAAGGATCATTATGACAAATCAGGTGAGTTGCAGCTTGGTTCAGGACTGTTGCCCTAGGCCTCGATGTCTAACAAACAGGTGCACTCAGCTTCTAAGGAGCAGTTCAAAACAACCACAGAATTTCTCACACTTGGGGTTCAAAGTGGCTTTGTTCAGGCTAGCTCCAGTCTTGCTTAAGCAAACAAAACTTCCCTGTCAGTGACTGAGCAGTGTTCAAAAAGACTCCAATTAGCCAAGTTTTGAGTCTGTTAGTCAGAATAATAAAAAAGTTTTTCCAACAAATACTCTCCACCTTTTCATTCATCAGGGCTTGACTTCCATTGCCAGGCAGCCCATCTCTCTCGAGCACCTCCTTCTCATAGTGAACTGCGGGAAATTACTCAATTCCTGAAAGCTGACCAGGCCAGCCATGCTGGCTACCCCTGCACTTAGCAGTGGTCTTTCTCCCAGCCAATCTCTGCCTTGCAGCTCAGAGAGAGAAGGAGATTGTAATGAAAGAGATAGAAGGATGAAGAAAAGGAAGGGGATGTATTAATATTTGTATGCATTAGTTTGTATGGGGGAATGCCCAACAGTTCTGTGATGAAAGGAATTTGCCAAAGAAATTACAGTAGCAAAGAATGAAATGTAAGAGTTACTGAATCCTGAATTCACAAGCCAACAGAATTAACATTGAAAGTAGTTTCAACAGTTTTTTCCTTCATCATGGGCCAGGAAAGAAAGAAGCATGTTTAATGAAACACAATACAATGGCTTTAGGTTTCCTTTTAATGAATAATCCCAACATTATCACAGTCCCTCTGCTAACTGTATTTAGAAAGACTTTTAAGATATTTGGGATCTCTCTAGAAACCAAACATCAGGCCAGATAAATGCCTAAATATGTAAACAAAACAGATTGTTAAATAGAATTAAATTAATACTTATAGTCTGTTCTGTTATTAGTAACTTAGGATATATAATGTTTTAAAATATTATCTTTACCCTTTATCTGTTACCTTTTTAGAAAATACTGAAAACTGCAAACTTTCCAAAGTAATGATTTCAGCTTTTGAGGGAGGGGAATTTTATAGCAGCTGGTAGCAAGAATACTAATCCTCTGAACTGTGAATTATTCCACTGAGGTGCTGGAAATGCTCAACTACCATAGTGAGTTTGGGGGAAGGTCAGTGCAGTATTGATAAAGATCAGGCCATTTGATATAGGTGCATATGTCTTGATTTCATTGGAATTGAGATGTGAAGATGCGTAATACTATGCAGGATTGTGCCCACAAGAGAAAGGAAACCCCAACATGGTATTTTCAATATTCTTCTGATTCTTACATATACTACAATTCCATGAAGTGAATAGGAATTCCATATTTTTCAAGACACATAAAAGAGGACAGTTTAAATGCACCCATGGGCGACTGGTGCCTCCTTAGTCACGGGGGCACATGCCACCCCAGCAACCAGTCAGCACAACTTGGGGGAGGGGGGGGAGTCCCCCATGGCCAATCTCGCTGACCAAGGCAAAGACCACGGCAAAACTCGCCAATTGGAAAGCAGCCGTGCCACTCCCACAAGTGGCCATGGCACTACATCCGGTGCTCCCAGAAGTGGCGGGCACTCACAGGGGGGCACCAGCACTCCCACATGCCCCCCTCGCAATCACGTAAGCGGGGAGCGCAGCCTCTCAGGGGGTGCAGCAGCAGTCTCAGGGGGTGCACATGCATTGCCACTGAATGCACCTACCAGACATGCCACGAGAACGGAATCACTGTTGTTCCTTTCAGTTGGTGACCTGCAGAGTTGTATGAGGCGAGGAATACCTAAAAATTTAAAGAGGAATCAGGAGAAATAACACTTTGAGATAATGCCAGCTCTAAATTTTGATGTCCAAAGTCATGCTGGGGGAGTTTTTAGTTTTATCTTTCATACTTAACACAATTGCTAATACCTTTAATGTATCAGAAGTGCAGAAGGAACAGCCTAGGCATGCATTAAACAGTGCTATTTAAAGTGGTCACAATTAAGCAATTTATGAAGCATAAACAAATGCATAGGTATAGGGCATATACTGCTCTTTCACAATAAAAAAGTTAAACTGAAAATCTTCCCTACCCTTTCCACATTCACCTAAATGACAATCAACCAAACATGTGCATTCTTGCTTGTTTCCTTAATTGATATACTAGTTCCTTATCTATCTTTGTGCTAGAGAATTCTTCTACTCATGTTCATGTGAGACTTGAGGCTGATAAACAACTGGATGCCATATTTCAACTGGCACAGTGTCAGCCAGCCACAATTAAATGTTCAACATCTATTTCATCAACTGTTACATGGAAAGGGAAGATATACCTCAGGGTTTCAATGAAAACATTAGTTACGGCTTCATTTACCACAATCTCCTCCTTCACTGGCAGGATAGACTGTATGGGGAACCCTGCAGTCTGTAGGGAGCATAAAAGTGCTAAAATAAAGCTGCTCCTTGCCCCAAACCTGTTACACTGATCTCATCAAGAAGTCACTCTCTGAATATTTAATGGTCTGCCACTAGGCTAGCATCACATTCTTACAGCTGAGTTTTATGGCTGCATGTGCCACTTCAGGATCTCGGCTCAGCCGTGCCAGCGTAACTGCAGATTTCTGTTGAACTCTCTCACAAGCGGCAACTTCTGCTGAATTCCCAGAAGAGGATCTCTCAAAGAGCATTTCCATTAAAAGCTGAATACCTATAAAGGAGTGAGTCACTTTCAGTAAATCTCCTGGACAAGAATACAAATTTCAGCCCAAGAAAATAACATTAAAAAGCAGCAAATTGACAAATGTGAACCAGGCCTCGGGTAGCAGCTTAGCCTAAAGAAAGAAAGCCTACATAATAGGAACCTACAATTCAGATTATCAGAGTTCAGGCGCAGCTTGACATGAGTTGAACTGAACTGAACTGAACTGAATTGAATCAAACCTAGATGGTTAGGATTTTAGTCTGATCCAGTAAATCTGGCTCTAAAATCAGTTAGCCATGTCAGTCTGAAGTCAAGTAGAAGGCAGGGCAGATTTTCACCTTATAAACTAAGAAAATTAGTTTGCTATGCATATAAAGCACAACATTTAATAAATTGAAGCTCATTTAATCAAATTCAGTAAAAGAATGTACATATATATATATATGGAGATATATGAGGCAGGGATTTTTTTGGTACTATGTTTTATTGAGTCAACTGAACATTTGGGAGAGACACTAGGCAAACTCTCCAGCATACACCATTCTTCAGGCCCTGTAAATGAATTAAAATATCATTGAGAGGGAAGGAGGGAGGGACAGAGACTTTACAGGCTGGGGTCAAGGCAGCCAGGTTCATGCTCTGACTCTAGCTGACCCAGTAAAGGATAGCACCAAGGTAGGACAATTGTATAGTTTGGACCTATGTTAGACAAGGATTCAGGCACGCATTCTGGTCCTGAAAAAGGGTTCTGTTCCCCCTGACCGCTGGGGCTCTCTCTCTGCCCCTTGGGGTTCCCCTCTGCTCACCCTTGTCCCCACTTGCCCCTGTGGCTTCCCCTCTGTCCCTCCCAGCTTAATTTTGGCTGCCAGGCTGTCCTGGAGAGCAGACAGAGAAGAGCTGCTGCTACCAATGCTGCTCCTGCTGCCACTGCCACAGCTGCCATCACTGCTACTGGGCTGCCACTCTTCTCTGAGCTAAGCCCAGCCTATAGAGTGGCGGTGGTGACAGCAGCAACTGGGGCTAGGCAGACAGGTTCCCCTTCCCTGCCTGTTCCCCCAGAACAGCAGTCAAAAGTAAGCGAGGGGGCAGATTCTGGGATGCTAAGAAGGTGGGGAATGGTGCACCCAATCCACGGGAGAAGCAGGGGGATGGGGTGGTGGGCCAATCTGGACGAGCAAGGGAGTGGGGCAGGTGGGATGTTTACACTAAAATGTCGCTTACAGGGGTTACATGTTGATGCAACATGAACTGGGTAATATGAATCAGAGATAAACCTGCCCTGGAGCAGCATAATTCTAAGCCTCCTAAAGGATGCTTAAAACTAGTTGCATGAGTTAGCATGTGGACAATCCAGGGGTTAAGAGTTCCAGGAGCCACATAAAATTAACGTGCAAGAACTTTGTTACTTATTTCACTTTGAGCTGCTCAAATGTTGATCTGTGTAAGCACTAGCTCGAATTTGAATGGGATGGGGGTGGGCAATGAAATGGGAGGTGGAAGGAAAATGGGGGTGGGACAAGGGTGATGAAATTAAGTCAGTCAGTCATTTAAGGATAAAATAGAACAAGTGAAAAAAATAATTTAAAAGAAATAAAGAGGAAGTAAATTAAAGAAGGTCATATGTTTTAATAAATTGGGATTTGGGACTGGTGTGGGGGGGGGGGGGTGCCAGTCGTGCTTCCCAGGGTGGCTGGGAGGTGGGAGTGGTGAAGGAAGGTGCTTTTGGAGGAGCTATTACTCCTGACCTGGGAAGGAAGCCCCAGGTCACAGGGACTTGATCCAGCCCCCTACCTTGTTCACCTCCCACCCCCTGTAGACCTCACTCCTGCAACCTGGATAGCTGGCATGTGCTCTGCAGGCTCTTTGCAAAGGGTTGCACCCTTTGGGGTGAGACGGTCACACCCCTGGGACAGGACAGGCGGTCTGGTTTGGTGCCAGAACCACCCCTGGGCGATAGAATTCAGGGGGTAGAAAGTTTGGCTATAAAGAACAGGAAGGAAGGGGAGGGGACACTCCACCCAGGATGCTGGTGGACAGCAATCTGGGTGGCTTATCTGTAGGGAGTCACCACACATTAATGGAACATGAGCTGGGTAACACGGATGAGAGATAAACATGCCCTGGAATGATGCAACTTTGAGCTGTCTAAAGTGTGCTTAAAACTAGTTTCAGGTGTTAATGTGTGAGCAATCTAGGAGTTAAGAGCTCCAGGAGGCATCTAAAATTAATGCATAACAAGGCCCTCACAAGGACCTTTGTGTGTTTTACATGGACATGTGCCAAGACCAAAATGATCACTTATATCTTCTCATTGGCTAAGAGGGAGTGCTGCATCACACTAGCCTGTTAACACTTGAGGGCCTGGGTCCAAACTTGGCATAGCCACACCTAACTTATAGTGGACATTAGGGCTGTGCGAAGCTTTGGTCACTGATTTGATTTGGAGGAGATTCAGCTGGATTCAGTGGCCAAATCTCCAAATCCGAATTGAATCAGGAGACCTGTTAATCTCTCCGAATTTAACTGGAAGCCTCCAAATTGATTCAGAGAGATTCAGATAGATTTGATGATGTGGCCATAGACACAGCTTTATATGTTTTTCTATGTACCTCAAGGTACCAGGTGCAGCTCATGAACGCTGAGATGGTAGGGCAGATGGAATGTCCCATGGGGTCATAGGGGTGCCCCCTGCACTTCCGTGGGACACTCCATCCGCCCCACCATCTCAGTGTTCACAAGCCCCACCTGGTACCTCAAGGTATGTAGAAAAAAAATATAAAGCTGTGTCTATGGCTGTATCGCTGATTCTCCAAATCTTCAGATTCAGCCGAGTTGAATCAGCACAGGGATCTGAATCAGCAAATCAAATCACTGTCCCCCGAATTGGGCCGAATCCAAATCCAAATTGAATACTGCCAGCTTCGCACACCCCTAGTGGACATACAGCTACGTGCCCAGACTGCTTCATAATTCATTGTCACTGGCAATAGGGATCCAATCCTGCCAGTTACTAATGACTCTGAACTCTCATTGAGCTTGACTCTCCTGTCATATTCTTCTTGGACTTATATAATGCCACTGACTTCCATGGAGCTCCTTCTGATTTACAATAGTGTAAACAAGGCATAAATCCATCTATGCTCAAGTGGGAAAGAAGAAGGGTATTCAGTAGCCTTCACAAGGCTCAATGTCATGTGGCCATATTTTGTCTTGTCTTGTGCCCAGGTGCTGCTCTAATGATGTCTCCACGGAGACTTTTTGGCAGACATAATATATAGAGCAGGAGAGAGTGAGTAGAACTTTTTTTTAAAAACAGAGTTCCCTAGCACAGTCTAACATGATGTGGACATGCCCTAAACCAGTGTCAAACTTCACACTGAACAACCACATACTTTAAAAGGAAAGCCCACTTTCCAATGTAAGCCATGGAATTGTTACCACATGCCTCCACAAAAAACAGTTCAATGTCAACTTTGCCCTTATACATAGGAATATTATCATGACCTTGCTGACTGCTACTACCTGCAACAGCTACCTGATTTTTCCACCTAAATTTATTGTAGCTGTTTTATAAATTTATGATCATTTATGTCTTACTTTAATAATATTGTAGTTTGGCTGGAACAACTTAAAATGCAGAGTGCAATCCACCTACCTCAATATGTAGATGTATACATAGACACATACGTAGTATAGGTTTATGTATTTATTCTATACTCATTAACAACAGATGTAGATGACACATTCCAGTTTACAAAAATCACAGGTTTTCTTAAAACTCTTAATTTACAAAAACAAAAGTTACCAATCTGGGTGTCATGATGTGAGCTACAAATATTAACTCAGCATGACAGACACACATTTAAAGTGTTCTATACCATATTGCACAATGGCAACATATTTCAAATACAGAGGCATTCTAAGTTCTCATTTTTCATACTATATCAACTTGTATTAGCCAGCAGGCACAGATTTCACTACAAATGATGGCAAACCAATTAATTTGTCCCCCTTAAATCATGTTGGAGTGTAATTAACTGAAGCTGTCATCTTTTCTCTTACCTTGATTCTATCTATCTATCTATCTATCTATCTATCTACACACGTACATACATACAAATATGCAGTATTCAACACATCTTAAATGCCTACCATTTCCTTGAATTATTTCTGAAGCACATTGGTCCAGGACAGACATGTTTGCTAATATTGTTACAACCTGTAACAAAAAATAGAAGAGAACATAAAAGTTAATGTTACTATTTGTAAATATTATATATATATATATAATGTTATTATATATTTAACAGTTTTATATATTCAAGTGAATAACTAGCATAAATAGAGTAAGAGCATCTTTGGAGGCTGACATTTAAAGCCAGTTTCATTGGAAAGGAGACAGAATGACTGGCACTCTAGGTAGGTCTCCTTTTCCCTGGCTGTGCATGTCGACTTGTCAAAAGGAGGTGGCATTTCCACCAATCAGAGGATTTCGTTAATGATTAGGTGCCCCCGCCTTATAACCCTATTATGTTGTTAAATTAGCATAAAGGGGCTATAGAGCCACTGTGAATTAGGACCCTAAAAGTCTTCACTTAGGGAAAAATGATTATGTCCATTCTCAAATTCTGAGAAACCTTACTGAGTAAGGGTTAAGCACTTCCAGATTTGCCACGTAATGTATATCCAAATGATAGCATGCCTTAGCCATTACTTTTCATTTTCAAATTACAGTAGTAACATGGAATTATTATCCTGACTTCCCTGTGAGGTTGCTATCCTGTATTCTGCTTCAGAACAGCTTGTCTATTCAGGACAGCACTTAAATACCTCCTTAAATCCTATTGAAGTCATTAAGGTGTATGCATATGCTGAAGTGATATCCTGAATAAGAATGGATTTAATGTGCCCACATTCTTAAGCTGTCTCCTAAACCTGGGGGAAAATGAAAGAAAAACTGTTTTTGATACTCAGTCCTTCTCAGAGTCAGGTCCTAAGAAATTTGTATAAGGGCATATGGGGCACTTTTACACATACCCCAGGGGTGGGGAGGGTGGCACTTTAATTAGAGTGTTTCCAGTAGCCACTCTAATTAAAGCGCAACAGTGTCTGGTGTATCAGCATCCCTGTACTTCAAAATGGTGGCAGAGGTGCTTGAACTAAAGCTTGCTAGATGAGCTTTAGTTCAGGTGCCCCACTGCCACTTTGAAGCACAGGGACACTGATACATGAGATGCAAGAGGCTCCTGGAGCGCAGAGATTGCCACACTTCACCAGAGTCGATTAATCAAGCAGCCTCCGTACTTGTGTACAGGCACCCATGGTGGACTATAAACGCAAAATAGATTAAAACTGTTTAGCTCCTGGCTCTGAATCCAAAACTCTGCTTGCTGGACCATATGGCTTTCTCTGATATACTTACCAGTGCTAGATGTAAAGTCATTCGTAGGTGCATCTACACCAACTGTTTATTGCAGAGTAGATTAATTAGCTCCACAGTAAACATCTCACATCTACATATGCACCCCTATTAGGCCACAAGAAACTAACTCCACAGCAAGGTAGTACTTCTAAATACAAGTACTGTCCTGCTGCAGAGTTTTTTAGTCCACAGTACCACGTGTATAGATTCTGATGCAACTGGCTGAGGGCATGAGGGTGCTTCTGTTCAGGGGCCATCTGCTGACTAGCCCCACACTGGAACACCCTTGTGTCCCAGCCATCCCCTCCACAGCAAGTTAACCATGGTCAGAGCAGCATCAGGCTGGCAGGCTGACCCCCTGAGCCCCCTGCCAGCCGAGGCTTCTCCAGCCCAGCTCCATGTGCTGTGGTCCCAGGTGGACGTATAAACACAGTATCCAGGAGCAATAAACTGCAGCTCTGTATGTGCTGGAGTTTATTGCTGCATGCTAATAGCACGTGTAGACATGCACCACATGTATTTTAACCTTCACATTCCCTGCTTCCTATATTCAAAGTAATGTATTTGTTATTAATATTAGGATGCAAGGGGATTCTGAACAACCATTCCTATGTTAACATTCAAAACAAATTGAAAATAAATAATTTTAATAAAACATTCTTGTCTTTCTCTTTATTCTCATTTGCTGCTGTTGATCTATTTGAGCAATAATGAAAGGAGAAGATATTTGGCTAGCAACTTTTATTTGGAAGATATGTATTCACAAATCAACAAACTTCCTGTTGTTATGTAAGTAAACATAATGGCAAATCACTATTAATTTTGATCATACGTTGTCATTATCATAACAAGAATCATTTTTGATGCTGTGACATAAAGGTCTTCCACTTTCCAAACCAGTGTTATAGTGTCATGTCTCTGAATAAATACACTGACTTAGGATGCAAATGAATTGATGAAGCTCGAAAGAGTGACAGGTAGAAAAATGGAAACTCGGTATATGTCTATGTATTTATTCCATATTAATTATTAACAGAATTTCAGGCACAGTGTATATGGGGTTTTTTTCATTCTAAATTATATCCTGTTAATGAAAATTACTTCCTCTGTGCAGAATGTGTACCCCATGTGGCACTCTAAGCGATAGATGAAGAATTCAATTAAGCACAATTTGAATACGTGCCAATTATTTCACTGCTTCAAGTTATTTTATCTAATAAGTATTTTTATATATAAAAACACTCATTAAGATACTCATTTTATATATAAAAATACTCTGTATCTTTCAACGCTACAAACTGTTTGAATGACAGGTGCATTGAGATTCAAACCACTTCTGCTTTCCTTGACTATAACAATACTCCATATTTCATGGATATATGTAGGATATATTTTGTGTACTGGCCACAAAAAGTTAAATTTACCTTATGCAGTGTGGCGTGTACAAGGCCTATACATCACCTATGCCCTATTTATTTTGAGACTTTAACTGGGACCTGAAACCACAGGAGCTGCTGATTATTTTCACTCAAAGCAAGCAGAATTTTGTAGTGGAAAAAATGCTTCATACCTTTTTAAGATGTAAATAACTTTATACTTACAAAAAGGATTAACTAGAACAACACTTATACTTATGCTTGTACACCTGTCCCAGGGTTACTAGCTTAGTATGTACCTTTTTCATGAATCAAGCTTTATATAACAAAGTGATTCTTCAATGCAAGCCAAAGTCCAAGGATAAATAAAAGATGAACTCTCCAGGTAAAATCACAAACCTATGCATAAAGTCAAGCAACTTCTCATTTTTTGGGGGGGAAAAAAGGAAAAATACTCTATGGCATACTCTTTTTCTACCAATAAAAGCTAGGTAGTAAGTATGACAATTTAAAAAGTTTCACTAGACTTAGTTGCTAAACTAAATACTTATTTTTACAAGTAGCATCTTGAAAAAGTATTAAAATTCAAGCAGTTAAGATCAATACTGGCTACTGTTTATGATTCTTGCCATCCGTCTGGATCTTTCAGCAGCACAGAGAACTCAGTATCATCTGACTGAGATATCAATGAAGAGGGAATTCAGGCCAAATTCTCTCTCCCTGCCAATGCTGTAGAAGTATAAGACCATCACATTTTGGTAAAATCACGGCTGAAGTTAGTCAGGATTTCCATTACTATAGTGTCATTTCTTAAACTGCAATACCTCCAGGAAAGCTATCAATTTGAGGTGAAATTCTACAACAGAACTTGCTGATTTATTCAGTCCAACATGTTTCATTTGAAACATCTTCAGTTCAAAAAACTTTTGCTGTATTTAAGATAGGATTCCAAAACTTTCCCAAGGTCAAAGACTCCCTAATTCTAGAGTACAGTGCTGTGGGAACACTTGTAAAGCAAATTGCCACAAAGGCCAAGGATTCTGGGACCTCTGGGTACATCTCTCAGATATGCTCCACAGTTCAGAACCTCAAAAGTCCAGGGTCTCCAACTCTGACAGTTCACTTGACAGGACTCCAGGATCCACAGATTTGCAGTACACACATAAGAAAGTCTACCCCAGAATCATGGATCAGAGGATTCCAGATTCCATGCTTTGGGCAGCCAGCCACACCAGAGGTTCCAAGCTCTCTGCTATGTGGACTGAGAATCTGAAAATCCTGGGAACCTGAAAACTTGAGAGCTTAAGGCAAAGCTAGGACTTCCAGGCAAGGAACAGAAATTACACATAAATGAGTATGAATGATCAGAAACCAGTTCAAATCTGTAGCACAACAGAAATTCACTGTACATAAGCCCCTTTCAAAATGGCTGAAATCGGTTTATGATAAACCTGGATGGATATAATATCAAACTGAACTGATTTAAGATAAATTGGTTTATTGAACTGCTGCCCAAGACACCCTCGAGATTCAAGTTAACTCACAATCCCCCAGCATCCCAGGATGCTTTGCACCTCCCCTGCAAATCCCCCCTCACAGGGTGAGCAGGCTAGCCTTGGCTGAAGCTGTCTGCCCTAGCTGAGAAGGAAGGTGTACTCTAGTGCCTCCTGGCTTCTGGCCTGGCCACTGCAGGCATCTGGCTGCATTTCTGGAATCAAAAGTGAATGTCTGTTCACTTACTTATAAGTTCAGTCTATGTAGCTTAGACTAACCTGTGAAGATTGAATCAATTTAGCCATAGGCTTTTTGACTCTGTATTTAGCCTCAGAGCTTCACAGCTCCCTGTCGAAGATCTGAGACTAAGAACTAGTAGAAGTCCAGGGACAGACTCCTGTGGTCTCTAACTCTGGGATGAAACTTCAGGTGTGATATTAATATGAATGTCAATTTCACTGAACAGCTTTAGGATCTGGGAAGCTTGCAGGTCATAAGGATTTTTTAAAATGTCCATTTTTGTATTAAATAGACTGAGCAAAATTTTTAAAATGTTTCCTTTAAATCCTGTATTTTGGCCCACTCCACTATGCATAAATGCAGCTATGTCAAGTATGCGGGGGGAGGAATTCAGGTGCAGGACACCCTCTTTGTTTATCAGTTTTAGAATAAAACCGATGCTAAAAGCAAACCACATTTTTATGAACCTATTTAAATTATCTTTTGATGGGAGAGACTGAACTGCTAATGAGGTTGATAATGAAATATAGAGCTTTTCATCTTGTCGTCACTAGTCAAAATCTCATCCCCAGTCAGGTGTGATTCACAGTAGTTTCTGCCTGATGACTAGCCAGTGGCCTCTGTTGGGTGAATCTGTGATTTCAGTTCAGTTTTCAACCATCATGTGACCATATCACATGAATTCCT